AATTCATTTTTTTCGAGTGTTGGAGAAATTTTACTATTTAGAACATTCATTTACTATACTACTTAAACTGTATGAAATAGAAAATATACAACCTGTTAATCAAGTAATTGTGCCTTCAAGTGTCTAATAATATTGAAAAATAATTTATAAATTGTACTTGGGTTTATAGGTTCCTGTCTAGGGATTAGATTTACTAAGTAGAAGAGTATAGTAAACCATATTATATACATTCTATTTGGGTTTATACATCCTTGATTAGGGTTTACTCTTACTAATCAGTGGTGTTGCATTTCATAGTATGGATACAACATTCCATACTATGTATTATGTATTAAACAAGTAAATGTGACTTCAAGTATCTAATATTAGAAAATAATTTATAGATTGTATTTGTGTTTATAGATTCTACCTAGGGTTTGGGTATAGCAGTCAGTAGTTTTGGGTTGGTACACTCGCAACCTTAGGTAGTACCTCACTTTGGTATTTATTAGAATGACAAATGTATGTGGTAAAAAAGAAAGCTATGTGGATGTTCTACAAAACTCTAGTTATGCAAATTAACTTTATAAAGGTGTCTTCATAAACCATCGTGTCATCTCTTTTTTTTTGGTACCGGCAATTTGCATTTACGGAAGGTATAACCGGATGACATGAGACATAAATGATAATTTCTTAATTATGTCAACATCAGTGTCATACACTTAATATCACTTATGATTTTGGTTATTCAGCAAATTCTCCCAAAATTATATCTAGGATCACATTTAAATTCTACGAAACATATTTCACATATAACAAATAAAATAATAAACACAATATAAAAGTTAAATTTCTAAAATTGAATTAGTATATGCAGTAAAACCAACTTTTTCTTATTTATAAAAATATATATTCTAACGTAAAAAATTATTCTTTTATAAATTAATAATTCAATAAATTAATAATAGTTTCAATATTATTAATTTATAGAATTTTTATTGTATGAGTTTGCACTTCAATGAACAGATTTGTAGAACTGAGTTAGGGAGATTGGCTTAGGGGGGGGATTCAGGTGTTTGTCTTTGATCTGAAATCTGGCTTATAAAAAAGGAATAGACTATTAGAACCATATCCCTGATAAACTCTAGACATAAAGAACTAACTGAGATTTGTACTTCTTACATAAAATAAAAGGTATGATTGGATGGTATTACTAGCGATAATATTGTTGAGTAACTTGCTCTATTTTTCACCAATTAGGTAAAATATGTTAAATCACTTGTTCTATTTTTCACCAATTAGGTAAAATATGTCAAATGCTCATTTACTCCAAAAAGAAGGAGAAAACAGTCAACTAAACTCTGAACTTTAAATTAAATATAAAAAATCTTCAACTTTCAAATATTGGTCATTTTAACTCTCATATTTTTTGACTTGGCCATTAAAAAAAACCGAATAGTCAACTCTTAAACACGATTATTAAAATATATATATATATATATATATATATATATGTTAATTATGTAAACGATGTCGTTTTAAAAAAAAATCAGTCAAACAACGTTATTTTGCTTCTTTAAAGACTTAATGCATCTCTTTCGTGAGACTAGAGTCTAAAAATGAAGTCGATTTGAGGTTCTGGTTTCTCGAATAAGATGTTTTAAGTGTTAACAAAAGTAAAACGACGTTATTTGATTAATGTTTAATCAGTTTTTAAAACTATGTCGTTTAAAGAATTACTTAAATCTGTTTTTGTAATCGAGTTTAACAGTTGATTATTCGAGCTTCTTAAATGGCCAAGTCAATAAAATATGAGAATTAAAACGGCCAATATTTAAAAATTTAAGATTTTTTTGGCTCAAACATGAGTTAGAGTTTTTTTTGTTTTAATTTGAAAGTTTATGATTGTATGACCATTTTCTCTAAAAGGAAGGAAAACAGAGAAATATGTTATTCTACGAGTGACATGAAAGTTTTTTAAGAGTTATATATTATTCCAATTTTAAATTTTCTCCAAATCTCACTTAAAACTTACCAGTTAAGTGGAAGATATTCAAACGTAGTTATTGCAATAGACTGTTCTCAAGTGGTGGAGATGGTGTTCTCACCTGACGAATGACCCATTTTTGCTATACATTTGGAGGAGTTTTGACGCAGTACGGCTTTCTTCCTTATCTTCAAAATTCGACATATACCAAAAGCAACTAATCTAGTGGCAGACAAGCTTGTACGAGGTACTCGACATTCCTCTTCAGGTGTGTTTTATGTTAATTCCAGCCCTCCAATTTAGTTTTCCGAACCGATAAGACATATATTACAGTTTAGGCATTGTTGTCAAAAAAAAATGGAAGATATTTTTGTTTCACTCTACTTACTTTTAAATATAGAAAAAAAAACATAAATATAAATATTTACTCTACATTTTACTAGAGTAACGTTATCATTTTTCCCCACTTTTTTTCATTTTAATTCGTTTTTACCATTTTCTTTTATTTTAATTACGTTAACTAGGATAAGACCTGCGCCTTGTGCAGGGTGAGTGTATGTAACTAAAATATAAAATTTTAGTATTAAGGAATTTAAAATTTACATATGATTGTTTTTATATGTATTTCGAATTTTGGAGTTTTTATATAATTATCTATACGAAAGATCATAAACAATTATAATTAGAACTGTAGATCAAAACTTAGAATTTAATGGGTCTGGTTCATATATCTTTTCGCTTTCAATGTTCGAGTGATGGAAAATAAACGGAGTGTCACATGGCTTAATTGGTAGAGCATTATCAAGTTCCCTAATACTTTCTTAAGAAGCAGTCAGTAGAATATCTCCGTTTAAAATATATACAAAACTAATTTAATATAATTTATTTATTTATCTAATAATACCATAAAATTATTTTTTTAAAAACCTTTTTTAAATAAAAATAATTTTATAAAAAATAAGTTAAATTTTAAATTAGAATTATGTTTAAAATACTATTATTTATTCATACGATATGAGATAAATATATATATATATATATATATATATAGATATTAACATAAACACCTATTAAAATAATTTTTTTTTATTCATATGATTTTATAATCATTGTAACTTATTATAAAAAAAAAATTAGACATTGATCACAAAAGTTTATGTAAGATTTTTGACAGTTTTAGTAATTTATACTCGTTTTGAAAATTTCAAAATACAACATATATAAAAACCTAATTTTTTATTATATGATTAGTGTAGTTGTGTAATTTATGTTAATAATAAAAATTAAACAAAATGATATAAAGTATACATCTTGTTAACAAATCTTTATTATTTAAAATCGTTAATAGTCATATATATCTTAATTACATTAGGTAATTACGTAGGTTTTATTTAAGGACATAATATATAGAATATTTAGTTTGATATGTTATTTAGTTTGATATGTCTTATATGAAACCAACGGACCATGTGTTAAAACTATATTTTATATGAAGTGCTTTAGAATCCTTCTAAATAAAATAGAAGGCATAGAGAGGTGCCACATAGCCACGTAGGATGTGGTTAGTTTTTAATTAATACAAACTTAAAGTTACAATTTTTCAAATGTTAATCAATTAATATATAGGGGATACTACCAGTTAAACCTACATAAAACAAAAGAAAAGCTTACTTTGAGTTCTGCATTTTTTCTTTTCAACGGCATTTTACTTTTTATTTTTACATTTAATTCTATTTAATAAGTCATAGCCAAAGTTTTCAAACGGTAATATTAATAAGAATAAAATAAAATAAACATAAATTATCATTAAATATAGAAAACATAAAGATATATATTTACTCTACATTTTACTAAAGTGAGGTTATCATTTTTTCCATTTTCTTTTACTTTAATTACATTAATAATATCAGTTAAACCTACATAAAACAAAAGAAAAGTTTACTTTGAGTTCTGCTTTTTTCTTTTCTCGGCATTTTACATTTTATTTTCACATTTCACTCTATTTAATATGTCATAGTCAAAGTTTTGAAACGGTAATTATTAACTAATAAGATAAAATAGAGTATAAATATGAAAAGAATAAGTGGAAAAGAGAGAAGAGTTATAAGAGCATCCGTAACCGTGAGATTCATGGGAGTACTTAAGAAAAAAAGTATTTTAGATTTGGTAAAGATATTTCAGATTTAAAAAAAAAAAAAAAATGACCATTCGCGGGCTGCCACGTGCCCTGGGGATCCGTAAATAGTGTAAGGATTCGCTAAGAAACAGTTTTTATTTAGGGATTTTAAGCATCGAATCCTTAACTTTTTGTGGGGTTTACTGTTTATATAATTATTTTTTACTTAAGGACTTCCTCGTAAAGACTCCCGTTGGAGATGTTCTAAGTGGAGTAAATGTTGTTTAGTCTAATGAATTTGGAGTAAAAATGAGTGTATAATTTTTTCTTTGTTTCAAGTTTCGACAGTAACTAGAGTAATATAATGAAAAAACATGTCTCTTAGTTTATAAAATAAAACGAGCTGAAATAAACATTTAACGGACACCAGAATATCTAACGGCGTTCGTATTCAGATAAAGGGTAATTCCGTCAAATTAATATGCCCAAGCCAACACCTGAATACTCAATAGGACATTTCAGAAACTCACCAAAAAACTTACGCCCCCAAGCTTACATAACTCTTTAAAGCCGTCAGATCATAAAATCCTCGTCACAAGTACGCATCGAACGGCCACTGATCACTCTCTACAGCAATAATGCAGCTGACACGTCATGCGTACCGGTGTAGACGAGCACAGCGGAACATAGAGCATATCCAAAGATGACAAAATTAATTTTCCAAAAACTATAAATACTCGTCTTTAATCCACTTTCATTTTTTCTTTTGCCCTAGAAAAATCAACCACGCAGCCGCTCCCTTCTTCCCCCAAATCTCAAATCCCTAAAATCAAATCTCACTCAAGCTTTCGATTCTCCACACCAATTAGCTTTCTCTCGAGCTCGATCGAAGCTTTTTAAAGCTTGGAGAAGAAGAAGAAGAAGAAGAAGAGATGTCTTCTTCGTCTCGCAGCCTACACGGTTGCGATGTCGTCTTCTGATGAATATTTTGGAGATTTATTGTCCCGTTTCAGGCAAAGCTTATGGGATCTGAAGGGTGTGGTGGAGTTAGGGTTTCGTCGAATAAAACAGCAGACAACAACTGTGAGAAGATTGACCGTTCAATTAGTAAAAAAGGTTTGACCTTTTTATTACTTTCTTGATAGATTTGATAAATTTTTACAAACTTTTTTTTTTAAAGATTCTAAAAAATGAATTTGTAGGAGGAGGGAGTAGCAGTGGGGTTTCAGATCCATCGCTATGGAGGAAGTTAATGCACTCACACGACTTTGTACATGATAGGCTTACTAAACCCCGAGTTGAAACTTCTTCTTCTTCCGAGCCTCAGAACAACGGTGGTTATATACCGAGTCCTGAAAGTGCTGAGTCTTCTAGGAAAAGAGGGAAGCTTTCGAGGAGTGGTAGTAGTAACCTTACTTCCAAAAGGTCTAGATTGATTCTTTTAGATGACACTGTGAGAGAGAATGACTCCAAGGAGATGTGTGGTGGACAAGGATCTACTCACTCAGGTAACCTTACCCTTTTTTTTTCTTTTGACGGTTAAGATTGGGTGAATTTGATATTTTCTTGAAGTTTGATTGGAGTTGCTACATTTTAATTTGGTTACTTGTTACTTTTTTGGTTAATTTTGCATAGATAAACCCTTAATAGTGAAGCAAAGGAGCAGCTGTAATGGCAAGCGGAGTGATAGGAGGAACCCTAAAGTTCCCACTAGAACTTTTTCAACCGTTAATACTGCCACTGGCGAGAATGCATTTTTCGGTATGTGACTGCCTCTGAACTAGTTTTATGGTATCTAAGGATAGTAGGCTGCCGATTTAACCATGAGTCTTCAACTTGGTCTATTTACTTCTGTAGATTACTTTCAGTTCTGTAGATTGCACCGTCTGAACTTTGAAGTGATTTATAAGTGAAACTCTTCCGAGGTAGCTTTAGAGGGTCCTTCGGTTTTCTTGTGGTGATTTTTGAGTCTCTTTTAGTCTCGCTAACACCAAACTGAAAAGGTTCAATTGGCTAATATATTTATTAACGTACCAAAGGGACAATGTGAGAGTCATAGCTTTTCACTACTATTTTAAACGTGATTTGGTCAGTATATCCTCATCCCATGATATGCTCTCACCTTTTTTCTGTTGTTGTGTCTACCTCTAATTCGCCTTTCATGCAGGTGCCTATGGCTTGAAGCCTGAAATAAATGATGTTACCAAACTCGTTGAAGATTTGTCATTGAACAAGCTTCTTGAAGGCTCTTATGAGTGTCCTTCTTTGGGCAAAGACAAAATGAAGAAACCGGAGAATAGTAACGACACTTTGCTGAGTGTAGTCAGAAATGTTTGGTCTGTTCTTCCAACTAGAAGGCCTGTTCAATCACAAAGCTCTGCTGAATTGGACGCTTGCATTAGCAGATCCCTGGAGTCGCCTAGCTCTATCTCTGCCACTGTAAATGGTGAAAACAGCGTTAAAGTAAATGCTCTTGATGGAGATCTATCCCCATCTTCTAAGGTGTGTTTCTTAATTCAGTACTTTGAATTTTCTTATTATTTATGCTATGGTATCCCTATATTCGAGTATTACATGCCTTAGATGCTTCTGTTGGTTCAACTGAAAAGTTATCTACTCCTTTTGTGTTTTCAGGATCATTGTGTCAATGCTGAGATTCCTTCCACACCTCTTAATTTTCCATTATGCGAGTCTAGCGTTGTATTGAAAAGATTAGGCCTTCCTCCGCCGAAAGATTTAGACACTCTGCTCCAAGATGCTTCAAAACCTTCTCAGAACTCTAAGAACATGCCAGATCAGCAGCGTTCAGCTAAACAACCACCTCAACATGGCGGATTGCCATATTTCCCTTGGTCACAGGCTTATAATGCGAGCTCTAGAACCAACTCAGAAGCTGCAAAGCTTCTTACCGGAAAAACACTTTGTCAAGGACGATGGCTAAGAATAGCCGACACTTCTATAAGCTCCAACGAGAGTATAACCGATCTTTCCGCAAATCTGGATTCACTCACTTTCAACCAAAGCTTAGTCCTTGCACTACCTTTTGCTGGAACTAAGACCTCTCAGGCAATTTTGGCTAACACCACTTCCTGCCAGTGTGCAGAAGCATCTGTGTCTACCTTTCAAAAAGCGTCGTGTGTTCCTACAGGTAAGAATCTGGCTTTGGTGATTTCTAAATCTTCACCCTTTTCTTCTCTTAACTGAAATTGTATGCTATGAATTTGTCTCTCATCAAATGCAGAAGCAGATGGCTCTCGAGATGTTCAAGACGATGGTATATTTTCCCAAATGCTATTACTCAATTTCTCATCACCTCGTCTTATGATGATGCTATGTTTTCTGCAGCTCGATCCTGTCCTCAGCTTCTAGCAGCTGCTCAAACACTTTGTGACTTTGCAGTCCAATCCGGAAACCACAGCAATCCAAACGGAATCCTCAGGTGGCCAACGAAGCTTTCTCAGAAGTCAATGAAAGCCCGCAAATCCAAACTAATAGAAACGCCTCTTGAAAGACACCACGGAACAACTGAATCATCCTCCTTACATCTTATCTCAAGCAGCAAGAAGAACAACCACGTTAGAAAAGATTCCGCAACAGTGCATAATCATCATGATCGTCATCATCTTCCTAAGCCTTCAAAGAGACTTAAACTATCGACAATGGAGAACAAGAACGGATCATTCCCAAGCTCATCCTCATCTGCAATAGAGTCACATAGAAAACATTCATCTTCAAGCAAGTTCAAGAATCATTCCCGTATGATGATGCCACCGCCTCCACCACCAACGAGAACACTCCAAAAGTCTTCCACTTATCCTAAGAAAGCTCGGAGGTTTCCATGAATAGGTTGATAGATCCATATAGAACCTATCAAGGGGGACAAAAACCACGTCTTAGAGTCGTCTGTAGATATGAATGTTGTTACGGTGTAAGGTAAGTTCTTCTCTATTTGCACAGTGTAGGAGGTGCAGAAGACCATATATAGTTTATATATGTATTGCCTTCAATGTTGTAACATTTTTTCTTTCGTTTGTAGTTGTAGCCACACAGTTCTTTAAGGTCTGTTGTGTTTAAAGATTATTAATTCTACGAGGTTAATGATATAAATCCCAACTTCAGTATCTTTGTATTAGTTATGTATGCGCTACCATTATTGCTGAGTTGAAGATTCTTAACCCTTAAGACGTGTATTTGTGCGCACATGGTTGGTGATGTTAAAACTCAGATAAAGATTTTGGCTGAGCTGAAGATTTTGCATGTTACGACTTACGTTGAGGCTTTGAAACGTTCAGCTAAATTTTGAGGTTAAAGATGATTTTCCAGCAAGGAAATAGTGGAAGAAACAATAATAGGTGCTATAAGAATATTTGATGTAGTTTCATGTTTCACACTGACTTATGATACGAGTAATAGTAGTGCATGAATGTGTTATGACAGAACTGGTTTTTGCAACAAATTATTTTTAACGTGGTGTTTTCATAGACATTAGGTCAGTTTTGTTGGCGCACATGAGTTCTGGATATGTAAGATGTATGTCAGCACTTTGGTGTTTATGTTTGTTACAAAAATATAAAAGCAAACAAGTCACGGAGCACGAGCTTAGAGGTCTGTCAATTGGTTTTTTAGGGTCTATGCCAAATTGAATCTTTGGACAGGAAGTAACTTTGTTGCAGCAGTATATAAGATAAACAGAGAAATATGATCAACTCGAGATCAAGTTCTCTGACGACTCTGTTTTCAAGCTTCAAAAGATTGTAAACGTGAGGCGATTTCTTGAGAAGGAAGTCTCAAATTTTATTTATCAAAAATCAAGTATAGAGGAATACATTCGTTCTCTATATATAACACTTCTAAAGATAAAACCAAATTCTGAGAGACTTATCTAAAACTAAATAATTAAAGGAATAGGAACAAACTCCCATCTTTATCGAAAACAATAACAAAATTGAAAAGAGAATTAAAACCCAACAAGTAACGTAAAGCCCACGCCAAGATGTGCTACATCAGGTCGCCCCTGGTGAAGAAAAATTCGACCTCAAATTGAGACACCAGTGCCATAATGCTACTAAAGTGAGACACAAACCTCCGGTAGAACGAAGCGAGGCTGTGAAAGCTGCGAACATCAGAAATAGTCTTTGGCGTAGGCCAATTTCTGATGGCTTCTACCTTTGAGTTGTCAACTTCCAGTCCACGCTCAGAGATAACATACCCCAAAAATAAGACCTCAGAGACACCAAATGAGCACTTCTTTGTAGCAGAAAACAATTTTTCGTGTCGAAGAACCAACAAAACAGCTCGTAAGTGGTCAAAGTGCTCGATAAGTGATGTACTGAAAATCAAAATATCATCAAAGTAGACAACCACGAACCTGCCAATGAAAGGACGTAATGCCTGATTCATCACACGCATGAACGTACTCGGCGCATTAGATAACCCAAAAGGCATTACTAGCCATTCAAAAAGACCTTCCCTTGTCTTAAAAGCTGTCTTCCATTCACCACCAGGACGAATTCGTATCTGATGATAACCACTCTTGAGATCCAGCTTTGTAAAGATGGAAGCAGAGCCAATTTGATTCAATAAATCGTCTAAGCGCGGTATAGAGAATCGGTAGCGAATGGTGATCTTATTGATTGCACGGCTGTCCACACACATACGCCATGAGCCATCCTTTTTTGGTATCAACAACGCAGGTACCGCACAAGGACTAAGGCTTTCGAGTATATACCCTTTCAAAAGTAAATCCTCAACCTGCCGTCGAAGCTCATCATGTTCTTGGGGGCTCATTCTATAATGAGGGCGATTAGGTAGTGGAGAATTAGGAGCTAAATCGATGCAGTGCTGGATGTCACGCAGCGGTGGCAAACCTGTTGGAAGATCAGTAGGAAATACATCTATAAATTCCTGAATAAACGGCTCAAATTCTGGAGGGACCTGGAACGTGGTTGCAGGTGATGTCTGTGAAGCCACGAGAATGTAGCAGACATCTGCTGCACGAAGTTCTTGTTCAAACAGCCCCTGAGATAGCATCATAACTGGACGAGTATTAGGCTGGATGGATGGAGTCGTAGAACCTGCTGGAGCTGAACCTTTGTCTTGAGTTGGTATAAGTGTTATCCTTTTATCCTCAAAGGTGAAATCATATGTATTAGCATATCCATCGTGTGTAGTTCTGCGATCAAACTGCCATGGGCGCCCCAGAAGTAGATGACACGCATCCATTGGAACAACATCACAATAGATTAAATCCCGATAGGTTGAACCGAATGAGAAAGGAACTTTGCACCGCTTGGTTATACATATGTCTGTTTCATTGTTTAACCAAGCCAATTTGTATGGCGTCGGATGCGGCTCTGCAAATAACGCAAATTTTGAGACAGCTTCCTCCGATATAACATTAGTGCAGCTTCCTGAATCAATCATGAACCGACAAACCTTCCCTCGGATGGTGCACGAAGAGCGAAAAATATTGGTGCGCAACCATGATTCTTCAATTCCATGTGGACTAAGGAAATTACGGCGAACCACCAATAACTGACCTGTGTCTCCAGTGACATGTTCGTCCGTTAGATCAGGGAGGTTGTTGAGCTGTTCCTCATCATCATCATACTCAACTTCCTCATTGGACAAGAAGACCCGTTTTGGACATGAAGATTGCCGATGACCTGTTTCTCCACAATTGAAGCACTTGAACGTAGATGGACGAGTTGTCTTCGAAGCACCAGTGCTATTGCTTTGGTTGTTATCCTTCGTTTGAGTCTCAGTACTAGACCCACCGGTTAGTTCTCCTGCTGCTCCCACACGTGTTTTTGCATTGGACGACCATGAATTAGGAGAAGTCCGCAAGTTCTGCTCTACTAGGATTGCACGTTGATGCGCTTCCGAAACTGTAATTGGGTTGAACAACAAAAGATGGTTCTGGATCTGTTGCCGGAGTCCCCCAATGAAACGTGATACAAGTTGATCCTGCGTTTCAAGCAGTGTATTGCATGAGAGAAGAGTAAAAAATTCAGTAGCATAATAATCCACTGCTTTACTTCCCTGTCGCAAATTCTGCAATTGATTATACACTGTTCGTGTATAATTATATGGCAAGAACGATTTGCGGAGCATGCGCTTAAGTTTTTCCCAAGAGTTAACACGTTCTTTGCCTTCTCGAAGTCTCTGTTCTTTAACTTGTTGCCACCATGCTGAAGCCCTTCCCTTGAAACGCGTAGCTACTAGAGGTACACGCATCACATCAGGCACCTGCTTGAAAGTTAGGAGTTCTTCCACTGAGCTGATCCAATCTAGTAGCTCATCAGGTTTTAAGCTCCCCTGAGATTCCGGTAGTTCAACTCGGTTATGTTCACGACGACATTGTGCCTGTGGAGCTTGGGGATGTGCTTCTAACACCGTATGCATCGCTGCTTCTATTGAAACTTGTAAGGTTTCACGAAATTCACGACGGAGATCGGTCATAGCATCACGTAAAGCTTCCGCTTGGTCATCAAGTTGTTTCTGAACATCCCTTTTAGGTGGCATGATATAGGATCCTTTGTCTCTGATACCAACTGTTGCAGCAGTATATAAGATAAACAGAGAAATATGATCAACTCGAGATCAAGTTCTCTGACGACTCTGTTTTCAAGCTTCAAAAGATTGTAAACGTGAGGTGATTTCTTGAGAAGGATGTCTCAAACTTTATTAATCAAAAACCATGTATAGAGGAACACATACGTTCTCTATATATAACACTTCTAAAGATAAAACCAAATCCTGAGAGACTTATCTAAAACTAAATAATTAAAGGAATAGGAACAAACTCCCATCCTTATCGAAAACAATAACAAAACTGAAAAGAGAATTAAAACCCAACAAGTAACGTAAAGCCCACGCCAAGATGTGCTACATCAAACTCCAAGTCAACAAACAAGAGTTCCGGCTTGTCTCTATTCGTATTTTGAAGATCGGCCCGCTCTTCCTTAATGGTCGCAATTATCTGGACATCCAATTCATTTTTCTATATGAGATTTCAAGCTTAAGTTTTAGTAATCCCTCCTTTCCTTTTATTCGTATCTTTGTAGTTTCGTCTGGCTCGGACGGATTTAATCCATCAAATGATTAAAAAACAAAATTCACAGAATGCTTGAAGTCCTACATCACCAGTCCAGTGATGCCAGTTTAGTTTACCAGATTAATTATTTGTCTTTTGTTTTTATTAGTCTAGTAATCAGATATATACAATTTGTTACAGCTGACAAATTAAAGGGAAATGGTTAAATTAGGATTCTAGTTCAATACTGGATTGTTAATTGTTCTTGGCAGTAATCAACTCAAAGACTCCTCCGGTTGATCTCTACGGGATTATCCAAGACATCGAACACCTATTATTACTTTTCTACTCTGGTTCATTTAATTTTATTACAAGACTTTTGAATTCTTCGGCATTGTTTAGCAAAATCAACTCTTTGTGCTGCTACTGCAACCCTGCCCTAGTTGGGTGGGAATTTTTCTTAATACAAATTGTGTTAAAAAAAAAAGATTCTAGTTCAATATGAATTTTTTAAACTTTTTCTATTTTCTTAAAGATAAAATAGAAATCTCAATGTACCATTTATTAATAAATATAAGTGAATTTTAAATATTAAAAATAATTATTGGCAATAGCTACACTGTTAATTGCTATTGGTTTTGAAACCGATGGAAATTGTGTATTTTAAAATTTGTATAAATAACTAACATAAAAAAGCTAATATGTTAAAAATATTTACAATATCTTTGGGTAAGAGAATGGAGTAGCAGTTTGAAACATATCCCTTTAACATGTTGAACAAAAAATAAGAGGTTTCATTTTGTCACAATAAAGATGGTTGTTAGTAGGGGTAAGCACTTTACCTGACATCCGAACTCGTACCTAAATTCGACCTGAAATATCCGAACCAATAGCAAAATATCCGAACTTGTATTGAGTTAGGAGAGTTTGGATATTCGAACCCGAATGGGTAATACCCGTATCCGAACAGATATCCAAAAATAACCAAACATATGTATATATACCTATTTATTCCTAGTTTATTTGTCTCATTTTATTAAAAATATTTATACTAATGTTATATATAGTTTAAGATCATATAATATACATATAATTGTTAAAC